GGTACCAGGGGCAGTGGGGAGCCTTCCCCATCTCCTGTAGATCTCCCGGGATGGCCTCCCACGAGGAGGGGAGGAAATGGGATCAGAGCTAGAATATCGCCCTCCCTTGAATGGAGAATGGCATGAGTTTCCTCTGAGGCCCCTTCTGCTCTCTAGGACAATTAAAGGATGACTTCTCTGAGGACATGGAGGGGAAGACAGTCCCTGGAATACTGATCAGGGGCCCCCTTTGACCCCTGCAGCCGCCTTGGGCACCGTGACTTTTTCTCTCAGGCCTTGTTCTCTGCCTCACACTCAAATGTTTGAAGGTCTGATTCCAGCTTTTCTGAGTCCTGCCTCCACTCAGGTCAGGACCAGAAATCGCAGTTCCTCCCTCAGAGACTAGAACTTTCCACAGAATAGGAGATTATCCCAAGTACCTGTGTCCAGGCTGCTGTCAGGGTTCTGTGCTCCCTTCCCCACCCCAGGTGTCCTGTCCATTCTAAGATGGTCACATCGGTGCTGCTGTGTTGTCCCATGAAAGATACAAAATGCCTGAATTTTCTGACTCATCCCGTCAGATCCCCCAAAGACACATGTGACCCACCAACCCATCTCTGACCATGAGGCCACCCTGAGGTGCTGGGCCCTGGGCTTCTACCCTGCGGAGATCAGACTGACCTGGCAGCGGGATGGGGAGGACCAAACTCAGGACACGGAGCTTGTGGAGACCAGGCCAGCAGGGGATGGAACTTTCCAGAAGTGGGCAGCTGTAGTGGTGCCTTCCGGAGAAGAGCAGAGATACACGTGCCATGTGCAGCACGAGGGGCTGCCGGAGCCCCTCACCCTGAGATGGGGTAAGGAGGGGGATGGGCAAGGGGGGATGCGGGGTCATGTTTCTTCTCAGAGAAAGCAGAAGCCCTTCTGGAGCCTTCAGCAGGGTCAGCATCCCTCACTTTCCCCTCCTTTCCCAGAGCCGTCTTCCCAGCTCACCATCCCTATCGTGGGCATCATTGCTGTGGCTGTCCTAGGAGCTGTGGTCATCGGAGCTGTGGTCACTGCTGTGATGTGGAGGAGAAAGAGCTCAGGTAGGGAAGGGGTGAGGAGTGGGGTCTGGGTTTTCTTGTCCCACTGGAGGCTTCAAGTCCCAGGTGGAAATGTGTCCTGCCTCATTGCTGGGAATCACTATCCACACATGGACCACGTGCACCCAGCCTGGGGCCCTGTATGCCAGCACTTACTCTTTCCTGAAGCAGATATGACAATGAAGGACAGAGGTATCACCTTGATGATTGTGGTGTTAGAGTCCTGATTCCAGCAGTCACAAGTCAGGGGAAGGTCCCTGCTAAGGACAGACCTTAGGAGGGTGGTTGGTCCAGGACCCACACCTGCTTTCCTCGTGTTTCCTGACCCCTCCTGGGTCTGTAGTCATAGTTCTGGAAACTTCTCTTGGGTCCAAAACTAGGAGGCTCCTTTAAAATCTCATGGCCCTGCCTCCTCCCTGTCCCCTCCCTGTCCCCTCACAGGAAGTTTTCTTCCCACAGGTGGAAAAGGAGGGAGCTACTCTCAGGCTGCGTGTAAGTGGGGGATGGGAGTGTGGAGGAGCTCACCCACCCCATAATTCCTCCTGTCCCACATCTCCTGCCGGCTCTGACCAGGTCCTGTTTTTGTTCTACCCCCAGGCAGCGACAGTGCCCAGGGCTCTGATGTGTCTCTCAGGGCTTGTAAAGGTGAGACCCTGGGGGGTCTGAAGTAGGCAGGTATTGGGGCAGAAGGGAAAAGCCTGAGTTGTGGGGATTCTTTGATTGGGACGTTTTGAGTGTGTAGTGGGCTGTTCAGAGTGTCATCACTTACCATGACTGACTGAATTTGTTCATGACTATTGTTTTCTGTAGCCTGAGACAGCTGCTTGTGTGGGACTGAGATGCAGGATTTCTTCACACCTCCCCTTTGTGACTTTAGGAGCCTCTGGCATCTCTTTCTGCAAAGGTGTCTGAATGTGTCTGCGTCCCTGTTAGCATAATGTGAGGAGGTGGAGAGACAGCCCACCCTGTGTCCACCGTGACCCTTGTCCCCACGCTGAGCTGTGTTCCCTCCCCAGTCATCTTTCCTGTTCCAGAGACCTGGGGCTGGGTGTCTCCATCTGTGTCTCAACTTCATGGTGCACTGAGCTGCAACCTCTTACTTTCTTAATGAAAATAAGAATCTGAAAATAAATGTGTTTTCTCAAATATTTTCCATGAAAGGTTGATGGATTAATAAGTCAATTCCTGAAATTTGAGAGAGGAAATAAAGACCTGAGAACCTTCCAGAATCTGCATGTTCGCCGTGCTGAGCCTGTTGCAGGTGGGGATGGAGAAGGCTGTGAGGAGCCGAGTGTGGACAGGGCCTGTGCCCAGTTGCTGCTGTGTCCATCATAGGTTTTATGTGGTCAGTCCTCAGCTGGGTCAGCTTCACTGTTCCACGGTCCTTGTCCTGTCAGTAGAAACTTGTCCAGCGAAAGCTGTGACCACAGAGGCTCATACATCACCAAGGGCGGCCCCTGCACACAGGAGTCTCTGTTTCTGAGACAAAGTTTCAGACCCATTCAGCTCCTGGCCTCCTTCTAGGGCTCCTCTTCTGCTCTGCTCTCCTGCCCTGGTTCCAGTGATCTTGGTGCTGGCTGCAATCCCAACTCATGAATCTAAAGCAGAGTCTAATTTAGATTCATATTTGTCTGTAAAATTGGGTCCATAGTCAAGAATTGTTCCTTAAGAGAGAAATGTGATTGTGTGCTGCAGTGTGTGGGGGGAGGGGGCGGTTGGTGTGGGAACAGGGATGGGGAGGGAGGACCACAAGCAGCACTGCTGAGAAACGCACAGGCCTCAATGTCAGTGTGAGGGGACCTTGTGCTGTAGCTGCCACAAAACAGCATTTGGCCTGAGGCTATGTTAGCAAAAGATACTGTCTAGAACAGGGAGGTGCTCTACAGTGATCATTTAACTGACCTTTGGTGCTGGCCAGACATAGGACAGAATGGTTCTGCATCTGGTGAACATCACTGAAGTAAAATCAGAAAAATCTCTAGCCTTTTGGAGCATATGTTCCAGTGTGAAGAGGCAGATACACTATCCAGAGGATAGACAGACTATAACCAAAGTGAGGAAGGAAAGTGCTAGAAAGTGGAAAGTGCTGTGAGGCAGGTGACCCAGGGCGTGGGCAGTGGGGACAGAGAAGGTGGCTGTTGTGCTGGGTAGTCAGTGTGCCTTGTTGCAAAGGTGACCTTTGAGGAAAGATTTGAGGGACATGAGGAATGTCAATGAAGATGTCTGGGGAAGTTCTTTCCAGGCAGGGGAACCTCCGGGGCAAATGCACTAGGCCAGGAAGGGGTCTGTGTTCCCAGGAGAGCAAGGACGCCAGGAGGGCTGGACAAGGAGAAACTAGATGAGGTCAGAGGTGTGGTCAGAGCAGGTGGGCTTAAGGGGGGATGCAGTTCGATCTGACCCTTGCTCTGAGTGACATGGGAGTTACAGGACAGTTTTCAGCAGAAGAGGGACATGATATGACTTCTCTTTTAAAAGGATGTCACTGACTGCTAATGCCGAGAACAGAACTGAGAGGCCAGGGATGAGGGAGGCGGAGGGAAAAATAGTGGGAAGCGAGTGCAGTATTCCGGGCTGGAGATGTCGTTACCTTGACTGGGGTGTTAGCAGGGGAAATAGTGGGACGTGAGGGGATTCTGGATGCATTTGAAGATGGACTCACAGCATTTGCCAATGGATTGTATCTGTGGTGTGAGAAAGAAGAATCAAGGACACCCATAATCATAAAATGAGTGACTAGAAGGGTGGGGCTGCTATCAGCAGAGCTGGGGGGACTCTGGCAGGAGTATACCGAGGAGGGGGCATCCCAGGCACTCAGTGGAGGAGCTGTCTACTAGGAATGCAGGTCAGGGAGCCGGGGTGGAAGTTGGACAGACAACTCCAGAGTTTAGGAGAAAGGACTGGGCTAGAGAATAGACTTAGGAGGTCACACCATATAAACGATACTTAATACCTCAAGCATGGATGAGGGCACCAAGGCAGTGATTATGGAAAAGAACAAGCACAAGGACTGAGCCTTGGACCTCCAGTTCTAAGGGATCTGATCAGACCACACCCAGAGCAGACTGCAGAGTTCTGACCCCATGCCTAGAGGACACTTGGACAAGGACCTCCCATGTGCACAGGAATCACCTGGACATGTTGCTGAGATCCAGGAAGTCCGGAGTCAAGCAAGAGGCTCTGGATTTATGACAAGGCCAGAGCTCCTGCTGCTGGTCTCCACATCACACTTGGAATAGAAAGAACATGTGGACCCCAATACATGGGTTATGTAATCAGGAAAATCCAACCTTACATGAACTATTCAAAAGTGATATAAGCAAGAGAGGATATTGTCTTTTAGTTCAATTTTCTGATGCCTGAAAGGATGCAGTCATATGTTGCTGAGACTACTCCTGTTTTTGGACTGTACTGGGATAATTGTTAATGACCAAGGAGTATTCTGGTAATGTGCCAGGATCTTTTCACTGTATGAGTCTTCTGGTATAGGAGATCTGTGACTGGCCAGGCACAGTGTTTCGTGCTTGTAATTTCATCACTTTGGGAGGCCTTAGCCGCTCTCATAGCTGGAATTACAGGAGTACCCGGCAAACACTTAGAGATAAATGCTTGTTGATTTCAATCACCTTTTAAACCTGGAAGGGAGTTATTCTGAGGGGCATTGACCAACACAGCGGGTACGGTGCTAAACCATTGATGAGAAACTGCCCCGCCCCATGATCCAATCACCTCCCACTAGGCCCCACCTCTAATGCTGGGGATCACATCTTGACATGAGATTCAGGCAAGAACAACATCCACTCCATATCAGACATCAGGGCGCCTTACGTTAACAAACCTCTCAAATTACCGTAGTGATTGCCATAGGACTGTGTCTCATAGGCAAGTTTTTCATTGATCTCCTGATTAATTATGTGGCCAGGCGGTTAGTCACTGCCTGTCAGTCAGTAAAAACCGAAACATAGGAGCTTTATCATTGTTCAATTCTTCCACCACTGCTAAGAAAACACCCCGCAATTCAGTCCACAAGAGCTGTTCTGTTTTATCTTCTTTGATCAAAGTGGTGGACTTCCAAACAGGAGGTTGTCCGTTCATCTTGCAAATGTTGGACACAAACCAACCAGCTATGGGTCTTTCTTCCCATAAGAGAATCTGCCACATGGCCATATGCTGTCTCTGTCTCTTTTTTTGTTAAAGAAAACACTTTGCGGGACAGATGACTGACATTGCAGTTCGAATCCCAATGTTGTCTGCTGCAGAGTTACATCTTCCTCTGAGAAGGTCAGTGTTTCATTTAATTTATACCTTCAAGGAATTGAATGAAGCCCACCCACGTTATACAGATCAATCTACTTTACTCAAAGTCTAGCTATTTATGTGTTAATGTTATCCAAGAAACATCCTTACAAATCATCCAGAATAATGCTTGATCACCTATGTGGGCACCATGGTTCAGCCAAGATGACAAATAAAAGTATTTATGACATTCTTCAAGATAAGCGTATTTTGAGAAAATTAACTTTTGACCTAATAAAACAAGGAGCAAACAACTGTTTCTAAAAATGTACAACCAATAGTCAAAAAGTCCTATCAACTGTTGCTCAAGTTCACTCTATAATTGTGGGTGAAAAAATATGCATTTGTTGAAAACCACAGAAAAAGAGAAAATTTAAAGAAAAAGAAAGTGAGCCAGGCGCGATGGCTCACGCCTGTAATCCCAGCACTTTGGGAGGTCAAGGTAGGTGGATCATAAGGTCAGGAGTTCAAGACCAGCCCGGCCAAGATAGTGAAACCCCATCTCTGTTAAAAATACTAGCCAGGCGTAGTGTAGGTGCCTATATTCCCAGCTACTGGGGAGGCGGAGGCAGGGAATTGCTTGAACCCAGGAGGTGGAGATTGCAGTGAGCCAAGATCGCAGCATTACACTCCAGCCTGGGTGACAGAGCAAGACTCCATCTCAAAAAAATAATAATCATAATAAAAGAAAGAAAGTGAAAAAATGACATAAGAATAATAAAGATGACAGCAGTTATTTCATTGGAAACAATGCAAATGAGGAGACAGATGAGCAACATCTTTAAAGTCCTAAAAGGAAAACGCTGTGAAACTAGATTCTATTCCCAGAAAATAATTCCTTTTTCAAACATGTATATGTATAATATTCATTGACAATCACAATACATTCATGAGATATTATGTGATGTACTGGTATATGTATACCATGTGTAATGATTCAATCAAGTTAATTAACATACCCTGAATATATCTACCAAAAAAATGGATTTTAGACATATAGGGAGTGAAAAAAATTATAACCAGCAGGCCTAAACTATAATAAATGTTTCAGTCCTTTAGGCAGAAAGAAAATTAAGGGACTAGTTGGCACAGCAATTAATGATGAAGAGACAGATTCATTGCCCCCTCCCACTGAGACAGAGAACACAGCCCAGGGTCCTGGGAATTGCTCAACCCAATCCACCACCTTGGTCACCTGAGCACTCCTCCCGGGTACCTGAGGTTGAGTGCTATCACCTTAGCTGTCACCAACCTACAAACATCATCTATAGGCATCCCACCCAGGCTATCACAGCTGTCGCTAACAATGCGCACTGCTTGGGACCCAGAGGATCAGCCCACCACTGCTACTGCCAAGCTAGCTGTGTAGGAACCCAGGATCCCACCTACCCACCTAGCCAACCACTGCCACTACTGGCATCCATGCAAGCCACCTGGAGGCTCAGGAATCAGCCCACTGGTAACCACCAACACAAGTGCCAGCATACACCACCTTAGGCACAAAGATAGAAACAGGCAGCACACCACTTCCTCCACTGGAGCCTGAAGACTCTCTCATGTGGCATCCCAGTCCCCAGCACATCTTCACCACAGCTTCACTAATAACCACACCCTAATGCACAGAGGGAATCACAGATATCATTAACACTGTCCACAGTCAAAGAAACTATACAGAGACCATAGTATTCTGCTATGTACTACACTCAGAATCAAATCCAAAGTACCCCACACAACCAACATCATAGACTCAGCTTCAGGAAAATGTTCTTCACTATGAAATGAAATTCAAAAATAGGAAGAACTGACTTTTATATCACATGCAAAAATATTAACATTAGGATACTGAAACATGAAAAAGCAAAAGAGAAAAAAAAGACAGCCCTGAATGAATACAATAGATCTTAATCAAAAAGAAATGTTCAAGATTCCAG